AGAAATGTAACAAAATGCTAATCGGCTATTTTGTTCTTTTCACTAGTCAATATATTTCTGAAAAAATGGTGAAAGCAAGCATATGGATAGAAAAATAGGATAATCCATTATATATTGATAGATACATAATTATATTTTATTTTTTGTAATATTCTTCCCTTCACTAACTTTCATTTTTTTTCAACGATTTCCATTGAACAAAGTAACACATTATTTGGATAAACAATTAAATTCAAATAATTTAAAATCAGAATCAGTTTATGGTTTGGGCTGCGCACGTTAATCATATGTTTTTGTTTTTTGTTTTTAATTTGACGTGAAGGTAACAAAAATATTTCCAATTTTAAAGATGATATATAACACATTAATGTGTTGAACTAACCAGCTCCGGCAGAAATGAACGCAAAAAACTGAATTCATTCACATCACCATCATCATCATCATCATCATCATCATCACTTCACAGTAGTTGATGTCTGGAGGCTTGGGCTCGTCTGGTTGCTAAGCGACGGTTGGCGTGGTGCGGTTGCCATGGATGTGGGCTGTAATTTCTGCTTGAGTTAAGTGAATGAGACGCTGTAATTATCAATGGAGTCTATTCTGAGACTCACTGGACACTTCACAGTATAAAGATGTGTCAGAACACACAGAACCAGCCTCGAAACCAGCAGGATTCACGAGTGTCTGTTAGATAAGCCTTGTGTGAGCCGGTAATTAACACAAGCTTCATTAGATTTACACTCTTTACACGAGTTTATCAGAGAAAACATAAGTTCATGTTATAACCAGCAGGTGGAGCCGTTTGTCCAGAATATTAATATGTAACTTCCCAGTATTTGGACAGACAAGAACCTCCATCCCAAAATATTCAGGCTGCAATATATTTTCATGAAGATAAATGTGATATTATGAAGACATGATGTTTACAAAATTAAATTAGCCTACTGTCTTTAATTTGTCAATGTAATAAAGGTAAACAAAACTACAAATACTTTCTGGATAACACACACACACTATATTTATACACACACAGTCAAATTTTGTAGCTTATACATACACACTCACTTAATCATACAGACACTTACACAATCACACACACATACATAGGCCTACATAAACATAAATATATGTAGGCTACATGTATACATAGGCTACACATATAGTCAAATTGTGTAGCTAATATATATACACACAAAAATATACCTATGTATACTGTATATATACAAACATACAGTATATATATATATATATATATATAATAGGTTTATATAGGTTTCACATATCTAGACAAAACCATCTTAAGTAAAACTTCTTTTATTCAGTAATACCATATATAATGCAATTGCATATCTTTGGCGAAAATAAATTTTATAAACATTTTATTAACAGAGGTTAGCGTACAAAACGAGGGGTTTGTCCGTGTGACAGACAGTAACAGATACTGAGGTGGCTCTGTCAGTGTTCACAACACAAGTCACATTTATTTACATCATTCAATGCAGATTACGAGAAGAAACTATAATGAGACAAACACTAAAGAGAAATCGCACCAGCATTAACACATGGAGGATCTTCACTCACACACACACACACACACACACACACCGGATCGGGTCAGTTGGCAGAAAGCTCTCACAGATGTAACTCGACCTCTGAGGAATATCTATGAGCAAGCAGAGGGTCACGTGGCAGTGGAGAGAAACTATGGCAGTTTACAAAATTAATTTCAAGAACTGCAAATTCATAAATACAGTCATGTTAAAAAGAAACTCAAAGACGTTACACTTGGGGTCAGTATTTCCCAGAATTCCCAAATTTCAGCCTGCTTCATGGGTGAATCTCACGAATACATGTCCTGATCATATTTCACAAAAAAAAAAAAAAAAAAAATGAAAATGTGTGTGTATATATTATTATATATATATATATATATATATAAATGCATACGCAAGTTTTAAATGCATAAACATTTTAGAATAAATTTGCATTAAAATAGCATGCTATAATTTATATACACCTACACGCATATATATATATATATATATATTGTATTTAAATAGCCTATAGGGAATTTTTAGGCTATTATATACACACAATAATGTATTTTAATTTATTTATTTTTTTACAATGATGATGAAATGAAAATATTGTCGAAATGCACAAAAAAATAAACCATCTTATTCATCCTAGAATAGTTTTTATTTTCTGTAAGTAAAATATCATTTCATAAATTATTTGATTTTGATTTTAAGGCGAAATCAAGAATAGTTTCCTTGACGTGTGTGTGGTGAGATTCTCCCTCACAGGTACTTGGCAGTTTTATTAGTTAATAGTCAATACTTCTTAACCTGATGTAAAAAAAAAAAAAAAAAGAAAAAAAGAAAGGGTTAGTAAACCAGCCTTGGCAGTGATTAAATAATCTTTGATATTTTGGCACACGAGGAACAGAAACAGGTTTTGTAGGCAGTGACACTGATGTTGTTAGACAACACAATGCGGGTCCAAATGAAACGAACAGTTCAACAGCTCATTAAACACGACCCTTTTGTTCTTCCTTCTCAGATGTGGCGTCTCGATGAACTCGTCTAGGTGTCTGAGGCAGTGATTTACATGTTTTGGCACAGGTCATGCATTTCAGATGAGCTGCTGGGATTCTGGGGGTTTAAAAGCGTTCAGATTTCAAACAGAGGGTCAAATGAGGCAAAACAACAGAAAACGAGGAGCAAACGTGGACTCTGGCTGCGAATACTTCATCCAGCGAGCCTCTACAAACACACAGCATGAATAAATATTCATATTTCAAACATCTGCTTTCGTGTACCTGTGCTAACATGTTTTGTTTTTGTAAATGTGGCAGTAGTTTCAGGTGAAAACGTGTGGATCATATTTCACCCCAAAATAAAATTAAGAAAAAGCACAATATTGGACAAAAAGAAAAATGAAGCAGATCCCAATACTGTAATTAATTATTTAAGTTTGTTGTAAAACTAATTATGTGTCGTTTCTCATTACTGTAAAACATTTTTAACTGTATTATGCTAAACAAATACTTTAATACTATTTTTTTTTAATTAAAATCCGTATAAATTAGAGGCAAATACTACCATGAAGTATAAATATTTTACAATTTACATAATATATACATTTTGTTTTCACATTACAGTAATGAAAATAAATGCGATTTTAAAAGGTGTGTGTGTTTTCCCCCAGAATTCCTGCCGGCTCGATGTGGCAGTGATGACATCAGTCATTTGAGGGGGAGAGAAACGTGCTTAAATTATCAAGCAAATAATGTCACATCAAGAAAACAAAAATCTCAACCTTCAATTCTCTTCATGCAAAATATAATCCTATTTTTCCTAGTATTTTTTTGAGGTGAAATATGACCTTGTCTTGACAGGTTTCATGCGATATGAACACATGCATCTGTACATCTTGAGTTCCTCAACTCCAGTATTGACCTCCCAAAGTCAGCTGACTGCGTTAAAACACGCAACGAATGGCACAGAACCACATGCATACATAATCACACACACACATATATATATAGCAAGAGGAAATCTAGAGCTACACGGCTTGTGTTGTTTTGCATAGGGTCTGGACAGAGGGAATCAAACGGCAAGCTCTGCCATGAAAGGCCTGTTTCAGTTCACACACCACACAAAACTGATGGAGCATCTGAACAGATCACGGACAAAAGAAACGAGGATGATGGGAAAATGTGTTCCAGTCCTCCAGTATTTATTCTGAGTCGATTCAGAGCCATTTGTTTATTAATCCTTCCGGTGATGGTTGATCCGGTGTGATATTCAAGATTAGGCTTTAATCCAGTCAGTCAGTCAAGCATCTGATTGCTTTTACTTTATAATTTGATAAAGACTCATAGGGTAAATCTCATGAAACATGTCCAGTCATAGTGCACCCCAAAACTAGAAAATCCAATAAGAAAATAATACTCTTTATTTGTAAAAACGTTTGCATTTAATATTTTCATGACAACTAAGCACAATTTTTCCTATAAACTCTCATTACTGTAAGCCAGGCAAAAGAAAAAAAAAAAGTTTAAAATAAATAAGGTAGAAATTATTGTATTATCTGTATGCCAATTTTAAAAGGGAATTTTTATTTTGTACGTTCGACTTCCACCTCAGATTTGTATTAACATATTGGAGGATTTTTTTTCTTAGTATTTCTAAAGCATGGTAATATTAGATGTGCTACCACAAAAAAATCCATATAAACATAAATATACATTTAAATATATAAACAGTAATGAGAATTATTGAGAAAAATGGGAATAATGCTAAACAATTTCTTTTCTTTTTTTATTCTGAGTGAAGTGTGACCCTAACATATTTTCATGAGATTCACCCCATAAACATCACCACTTATGAAGCATTTAATAAAAATAAAAACGTATCCGTTATCCATAAATCCTTCCCGCATGCCATCCGCAGGGATCTCCAGTGCCTCATCACGCCAGCCGCCTGATGATAATTATTGCATTTCTTTGTTTTGTACTTCAAAAAAATTCAAATTAAAAAGAGAGAGAGAGAGAGAGAAAAAAAACATGGTAACTCTTGATGTAATTCTCGTTTTCCATTTTCTGGAGTGGACGACGGAGAGGTAGTGCTGGGAACAACACGGACATGCACTCGTAATCTCTGCAGAAACACCACAGATTCACTTGGAAGAGTAGGACACTCACTTTAAGAGGAAGCATGCAAACGTTTAAGAGAAAAAACATCAATTCTCCCTGTCCGACTCCTCGAGAGAAAATCCTTCATCGTGAAGCACGTACAGGAACGTTTCTCCATTCGCGCTCAGTATGGCTTCGTTCACCTCCGTGTGAAAGTTGCTATTGCCGTAGTTTGAGTCCGGGAGGGAAATTCTCTCGTGTAAAACGAAAAAAATGTAGAAAAACAAAACAAGAGAGAAGGTTTCCATGATGTGGAAAATGAGAGGCACAGTCACTGATACACAGTCCAGGGGTTAAAATTTTTTCAGCTTTATTTCCGGTGCTTTTCCAGTTTTTTACTCTTGGCCGTTTGCTTGGAGAGATCCAGGCCGGATCGGATCCCGGCGAGGTGCAAGAGAGACCCGGCCGCCTCTTTCAACTCCTCGTCCAGCTCCGGTTTGGACTCGTGCCGGGCCCGTTTTCCTGGAAGAGGACACTTGACGGTGAGCGAGGGCAGTCGTGAGTTCCTCTCCTCATCCGAGTCTTCATCGCTGTGGAAACCCTCGCTCCCGGCGCGACGGGCCTGGCCGGACTCACAGCCGGCCTCGTCCAGGGATGAGAGTGAGGACGAGGAGGACGAGGAAGAGCGAGACGAGCAGCGCTGGAAGGACGAGCTGCTGTAGTTGTGGTCCTGCTTTGGGTCGCTGCTCACTAGGACCGAGTCCCGGCGTGAGAGGTCTATAGGGCTGTCCGGGTCACCTGAGGACAAACCACCACAGTTATCACATGGACGGCACTCTCATAATGCAATGTTTCTGACATCATCACTTGTGCCACCCAGGTTAAGTAACAGATATCACATCCTTCCCAGTTAATTGATTACAATAAGAAATGCAAAAAAAAAAAATTTGTTTTAGAAGATTTCTAAAATGTTATGTTTAAAGAGGATATCTATTATGTCCTTGATTTAGTTTTTAGGCTCTACTAGAATAAGTTTTCATGCTTGAATGTTTAAAAAACACATTATTCTCCATTGTTGCGGCTCCTCTCTTCCAGTCTGTCAGTAACGCTCTGTTTAGTTCCTGTCTCTATGAAGCCCCGCCTTCTGAAAAGCATGCTGTGCTATGATTGGTCGGCTGGATCAGTGTGTTGTGATTGGTCAAGCGCTTCAAGATTGTTTGGAAATGTCCCTCCCGCCCTTACCATAACCGCCAGTTTAACACACTACTAACTAACTCAACCAGGCCCCGCCCCTTTATTCTGCGTATGAATTATTTAAACAAGGAATATTGTGATGTGTTCGTTCCCGGGAGAAACTCAAGACTACAATGGAGGCGTTTCAGGAGTTCAGAAACACTGACACTGATATAGAGAAGAACTCCCTTTGCAGAGTTTTTTCATGCTAAAACAGCAACATCACACACTAAAGAAAGTTTTAAATAAAAAGCATAACAGGTCCAATTTAAATATGCAATAATTTGCATAAAAAGATCCAGAACAGAAATCTGAACATTAGATCAAGCCAGATTCAAAATTCTTGTTTCATTTAGTTGACACATTAAGTGTCAATCTGTAAACTGGCGTTATGAAACGCGTCATCAAGTACTTTCATCCGCCTGTCTTAATGAAGCACTCTTGTGATGGTTTATTCTGCTATGGGTGATTAAGGCTCATTAGAGGTAGAGAACACTACTGTGACACGCTTAACAAGGATAAAGACGTTGTGAACGAAGTGCAATGCTGCACTAATTACCAGCAAGAGCTTTTAGTCATTACACAGACATATTTGCAAATCCATCCCCATAAATAAAGATGCAAACTTGTCTTTCTGCATGAACCTGAACTACACAGACTCATCCACTGCAGAACATCAGACTCTCAGATACAGATACTGACGGCCAAGATCAATATTATGAGGAAATATGAGCATATTTCAGAGAGACAGACAGATACATAGACTGAAAGAGTGATAGAGCGATAGATAGGATGAATGATAGAACGAACTGTAGATAAATAGAAAGATAGACATAGATAGATAGAAAGAAGGTTAGATAGAATAACAGAAATAGATAGATAGATAGATAGAAAGAAGGTTAGATAGAATAACAGAAATAGATAGATAGATAGATAGAAGGTTAGATAGAATAACAGAAATAGATAGATATAGAAAGAAAGAAAGAAAGAAAGAAAGAAAGAAAGAAAGAAAGAAAGAAAGAAAGAAAGAAAGAAAGAAAGAAAGAAAGAAAGAAAGAAAGAAAGAAAGAAAGAAAGAAAGAAAGAAAGAAAGAAAGAAAGAAAGAAAGAAAGAAAGAAAGAAAGAAAGAAAGAAAGAAAGAAAGAAAGAAAGAAAGAAAGAAAGAAAGAAAGAAAGAAAGAAAGAAAGAAAGAAAGAAAGAAAGAAAGAAAGAAAGAAAGAAAGAAAGAAAGAAAGAAAGAAAGAAAGAAAGAAAGAAAGAAAGAAAGAAAGAAAGAAAGAAAGAAAGAAAGAAAGAAAGAAAGAAAGAAAGAAAGAAAGAAAGAAAGAAAGAAAGAAAGATAGATAGATAGATAGATAGATAGATAGATAGATAGATAGATAGATAGATAGATAGATAGATAGATAGATAGATAGATAGATAGATAGATAGATAGATAGATAGATAGATAGATAGATAGATAGATAGATAGATAGATAGATAGATAGATAGATAGATAGATAGATAGATAGATAGATAGATAGATAGATAGAAGATAGATAGATAGATAGATAGATAGATAGATAGATAGATAGATAGATAGATAGATAGAAGATAGATAGATAGATAGATATATAGATAGATAGATAGATAGATAGAATAACAGAAATAGAAATATAGATAGAATGTTAGAATTAATGATAGAACAAACTATAGATATATAGATAGATATATAGATAGATAGATAGATAGATAGATAGAAAGATAGAATAGAAATAGATAGAATAATAGAAATAGATAGATAGATAGAATAATAGAGATAGATAGATAGATAGATAGATAGATAGATAGATAGATAGATAGATAGATAGATAGATAGATAGATAGATAGATAGATAGACAGACAGAAATAGAAAGATAGAATGTTAGAACGATAGAACAACAGAATGACCGATAAATAGAATGAACTACAGACAGACAAAGGTTAGATAGAATAACATAAATAGAATATATATATATATATAACGTTAGACGCGACTATAGCGTGTCAGATTGAGGTCTTCTCTTACATGGGTCAGCGTGGTGTCCAGGGGCCGAGTTTAAGAGCATCATAGCAGTCGCCGCATCAATGTCAGACTCTGTAAAAGGACACAAGACACACAGCGGTCAGTGTTAGTGTGTGTGTGTGTGTGTGTGTGTGTGTGTGTCTATGGAGGAATTCAAGGGGCTGGAGTTTCTCTGATTCCATGCAACCCTTCAGAAAGTTTGAATTATTCATTACCAACCAGAGGAGAGAGTGAACAACTGCCACCAAACTCAAGGTGACAGAGAAAGAGAAAGCTCTATAAAGATAAATAATGAAAATATTTTAAACCGAAAAAAAAACAATTTCACAGGGTTCTCATACTTTCTGACCAATGAATTTCCTTGATTTTTATTGAGAGATGACAATATTCTAATAAAAAAAATCAAGTTCAAGATTTCAAACCGGCGCTTATAATTTTTACTCATTTACCTGAAAAAAAAACCACATGTCTCACCTTTCAGAGAGCAGTCCTGGAGGAAGAGGTGGCGTGCGGGTGAGAAGGCACTGTCACACAGACGGAAACACAGAGACAGACCGTAAGACACAAAGCAGGATCAGAAATGATGATTTCCACCAACCTGAGCGCTGAATGACAACTTGAAGGAGACCTATGATTCCCATTGGTTTTAAGACTCTACTAGAACAGGTTTTCTAGCTTGAATGTTCAAAAACACATAATTTTTCACATATTCTCCTCTCTTCCCAGTCTGTCAGTAACGCTCTGTTTAGTTCTCATCTTGCTTCTTATTAGATTATATGTGCATCTGATTGGAATCTGATCTAAATGATTGACTAATCGCAACTGTTCAGATCTGATTCGTGTCCTGCGGCGCTCTTTCGTTTTCTGGAAAATCTGCATTGGTTTCTTTTGTAATGACGTTGCAAAAACAACAATTGCAACGTGAAGGGGTTTGCAATACAGATGTTGTCTTATTTATAACATGGCTATGTCGGAGGATGTGATTTATTCCGTGCTGTCGTCTCCGCCGGTCTCAAAACATCTTTCCATTCTATTGTCATTTTCTGCTTGACTGGCTCAACAGCACAACCTTAGGGGCTTTCGCACCGGAGGAATCCTTTTATAGCTCTATAGGCAGAAGTACCCGGATGTTGGCGATTTTAGTTCTAGGAACTCTTTAGGAGGAACTAATTTAGCTCCTACTTCAGAGTCGGGTCTAAACCAGCACTATAGGAACTATCCGTGAAGTTAGTGTTCGCGGATTGGCCGAACGCACGCGAAACACCAGCACCCGCCATTAAAAAAAAAGAAAAGCCATGTAAACACACAGATTATAGCCTATATATTTACTCCAGAAACTAACTCTATGAACATGGAAAACAGTGATAGATGAGCCTCTTAACCTTTACGCTAAGGAGAAAATCCAACGCAACTTTGAGGGGACCCAGCTAACATGATTATGTATTTTTGCTCAGGATATCAACCACACGGGATACGCTTATACATAAAAGTAGACAGTATATGAAAAGTTATAATAGTTCTATCTAATAACATATTAGACAGGACTGTTGGTCAGATCGTAACCTAATGAACCTGGAGAATGCGAGCACTGTTTGTTTGCTCAGACTCTGGCATTCACAAAATAAAGGTCCGCCGCGCTGTCAAAATAAAAGTCACAACAACGAGCGCGGCTTACGCCACTTCAGAGTTCCTACTGGCAGTGCGAATGAAACGGGAAAAGGTTCCTATGGGAACCATTAGTTCTCGGAGAAACACCCTGGTGGTTAGTTCCTCGAACTAGGGTTGTCAAAAGTACCGACTTCGGTATTAAGTTGATACTGAAATTTACTTTGAGCGGAATCATGAACACCTGTAATTGGCCATTGTGTTCACGAGCTCATCGGTTATGTCTGTGATTGGTTATAATGATCAATGCACGGAGCGTTTGAGAGCACACAGAAGTGTTTGAAAGTGTTTTGAAAGCAAACGCTCCCGTGTGTTTCTGTGCAAGCGCTCGCTGAAGAGCGTCATTGATGTACATTTACTACATGTTTTTGAAACGCTGATCATTGTAGCCAATCACAGACATGTTTGATGAGTGCGTGAGTACAATGGCCAATCACAGACATGTTTGATGAGTGCGTGAGTACAATGGCCAATCACAGACATGTTTGATGAGTGCGTGAGTACAATGGCCAATCACATTTTTTAAATTTCAGTACCGACTTGGTACCAAAGTCGTATCCGGTGCAAAAGCCGCTCTTGTTTCTGCAGCGACTTTCAGCTGTTATAACAACGTCTTACATGTTTACGTTTTACGTGGCGTGAGAAAGTGACAAACGACGAGAAATCTGATTAGAGCGAAACTGAAACGGATTTCCATAAATGCGATTTCAAAGCACATATGAATGTAGCTCAAAACGCATTTATAATTTTTTTTAAAAAAAATCGCATTTCATGTGATTTTATGCCGTTCACATTTGCTAAATATGATCGTATTCCAATTCGCCTTTGGCTAGGCCCCGCCCCCCTTAGTTACTGTTGCTACGTCCGACAAACAAACTTCATCTGGGCTCTGGTATCAACATGGCTTATGCTGTGACAGCTCTTCCTGCTGAAATTTTATCAAACTTTTATAAAGCAGCAAATTAAGTGTCTGATAGAAGTAGTCAAAAGGGGCTGCGATATACGTTTGAAGGCATACGTTCATGACATACAGGTGAAACGCAAGGAACAACAAGGCATCCAAAATAGAGGCAAAGCATACCGGTCACAGTCAAAAAATGAACCACCGCATATCGTACTAATGGAGACGGAGGCTGGGACTAACAATATCAAGGAGCAACACTGTTCATGCAAAGCTGGGTAGGTCTCTATTCACTTCTATAATCGTTATTACAAAGCAAACGGACTACGCGAGTATAACGTTGTATTTATTAGCAGCGTGTGCTAGACGACACTTTTAGTTGTCAGGATTTGACTTCGGTTTTGGGAAGGGAAAAAAACGCACACCCCCCTCCAACCTCTCTGGGAAACGCGTATCTGTGTTACAAATGCCCCAGGCACAACGTTTAACCATATTTTTGATAAAACTACGACGGTAATAGCCTGCCGAGACCAAAAATATGAGACGGCTGTGTTAAAGTCAATGGAGCGCTGTGAAAAAGTGTCGGACCTCTGTGGGAGCTCGTTCTTGGCTGCGCTGTGATTGGTCAATCTACATTCTAGGGTGTGGCTTAGCCAAAGGCGAATTGGATATGCACAAAAAGTGATTTCAACGATATTGTTCTCTGTGCAGTTGTCGTTATAGTTGTGGTTTCTGCTATTCTTTTACAAGTAAAGTCATTTTTATAACTATATCTTTTTCATTATCGTTATAGTTATTGTTCATGGTGTGAACTGACTTTACGCCTAGTTTCTTAGATTTTAACATCTAAAAGAAATTTATTTTAACATCTTTATGCCATTCTTTGACATCATAATCAGACGTCATTTAAATGAATAACAAAACCCGTAGTGGTCAATTCACACACCATATTTGCAATTAAAATGATTTTATATCAGACTGAATATCAACTGTACCCTGACAGCATCAGGTACTTATAGAGATTGTGGTTTATGAAGTTTTGTTTGGCATCTTTCTAGCGAGTGAGTTGTTGGTGAATTTTTCCATCACAGAACCACCTTTTCTTTAATGGAAATGTACAGAACAGGATCGGTCTAGGTGGACAGCCTCGTCCCACACATTTCCAGCGAATAATAGTGTGCATCTTGCATCTACATTATTTGTACTATAGCCTATACTATATAAATATATAAATGAACTAAATTAAGACAACAAAAATGAAACATCCTTAAGCTGAACTGTGACACTATTTTCTTCTGGAAACAAACTTTGTTGCATTAATTTTCTGTTATCTCTGTAAAGCTGCTTTGAAAACAATCTGTATTGTAAAAAGCGCTATATAAATAAAGGTGACTTGACTATAGTAAATGTGTGCGTTACCTGGGTGGGGAAGCAGGGGGTGTGCAGAAGGAGTGGGCTGTGGGAAAGTGCTGTTTCTTCAGGGCTTGGATCAGATTGGGTCTGTATTCAGGGTCCACACACCACAGAGAACCCTTCCCATTAACCTACCAGAACCACACAAACACACACACACACACGTAGATGAGCAAATACTCAGAGACAGAACGAGACTTCAGCACATCTGACGTAAATTGTTAAAAATATAGTTGCCTTATTACAACCATTAGGTCTCTCTGACTGGAACCACAAACTCTAAATCTGAATGATAGATGGACATAGACAGATAGACCAATAGAACGATAGATAAACAGATAGAATGTTAAAATGATAGATAGAACTAGGCTATAGATAGACCGAGTGAGCGAACGCACGTAGATAGAACGATAGCCAGACAGATAGAACGATAGAACGATAGATAGAACGATAGATAGAACGATAGAACGATAGATAGATAGATAGATAGATAGATAGATAGATAGATAGACAGAACGATAGACAGAACGATAGACAGATAGATAGAACGATAGACAGATAGATAGAACTAATGGTAGAATGATAGACCAATAGAACGATTGATAGATAGAACAAACGATAGAATAAACGATAAAACGAATGATACATAGATCGTTAGAACGATAGATAGAATGTTAGAACGATAGATAGATAGACCAATAGAACAAATTATAGACAACGATAGACAAATAGAAAGATTGATAGAACAAACAATAGAAAGATAGACCAATAGAACAATTTATAGATAGAACAAATGATAGAATAAACGATAGAACGAGTGATAGATAGAATGTTAGAAAGTTTTATCAAATGAAATTTGAATGAGATGAAGTTCTTGTGTTCATCCTCATATAGACTTTATATTTTGGCAAATTCGATGACATTCGACGTTATACAGTAGATTCCATTTTTATGACTGGATTCATGTGTTTTCTGCATCATGGGAAATAGACCCCTTTTCAGTTGGTAAACATGGTGACGTTTTTATGTGGGCGGAGCTTAGGTGGAGGCAGAACGATCCCTCTGGCCGCTTCACTAACGTTAGTTTGCAAGTTTTGTTAGCTTGTTTTTTAACGACGACTGGAGAAAACCCGATTTTATCTTAATGCGCAAGGTCACTCACTGTCAAGGACCGCGATTGTTATTTGCAAAAGTTAATTTTAACGGACGGAACCAGATTGGCTGACCCGTACACGTTCACTCAATGCATGGACGATCTGACATCCGACGCTACCTCCGGTTGTGTGGCCTGACTTCTACACCTATCCGATAGAGAAACCGAGCGTAAGAAGAAACTGAGGGCATATAAATCTATAACTATGTACTGAATGGTCATGTACAAGACTTGTGTGTACGATCCGCAGTTCTGCCTAGCCAGCGCCAAGAAGACGACAATGTAAAGAGTGACATTACGGTGCAATTTTAAAGGGATACTCCACTTTTTTGGAAATAGGCTCATTTTACAACTCCCCCAGAGTTAAACTGTTGAGTTTTACCGTTTTTGAATCCATTCAGCCGATCTCCGGTTCTGGCGGTACCACTTTTAGCATAGCTTAGCATACATCATTGAAGTGGACAAGACCATTAGCATTTCTAAATCTAAATCAAGAAACTTTACTGCCGTACCAGGAGTGCAGCAGGCGTAGTGATATGACGCAGCGCCTGAAAATAGTTCCGTTGTGTTGACGGAAGGTGGCCTATTTTCAGGCGCTGCGTCATATCATTACGCCTGCTGCACTCATGGTACGGCATTGAAGTTTCTTGACTATTACGCAGGAATGAGAGTATAGTTCCTAGCCATATCAGCCTAGAAAATCGCAACTTTACATTTTCCGTCGGTCTTAGTGCACGATGTAACTACAGAAGAGTCAAGTTTTAAATAGGAAAAATATCGAAACTCTTTGGTATTTTTTTTTTTTTTTTTTTTTTTAAATGCTAATGGTCTTCTCCACTTCAATGATGTATGCTAAGCTATGCTAAAAGTGGTACCGCCAGAACCGGAGATCGGCTGAATGGATTCAAAAACGGTAAAACTCAACAGTTTAACTTTTCTAGAAATAAAAATTCCAGATACAGCATATTAATTTTTCATTGATTCTTGCACCCAACAACACAACAAGATGACATTTAATAATAATAATAATAATTTAAGCTCCTTGTTATGTAGCCGAATCTGTGCTGGTTTGTATTAGCCGCCTCCAGTTGTCCGTTTTTTGTTGTTGTTTTTTATTGAAGAAATGTTTCAGTAGTGCAAATATACATTTCTTAGAAATATAGAACATTTCCAAAAAAGCATCTATTATACATAGTCAAATTTGCACAATCATAGGATACAGAACGAAAAAAAGAAAAAAAAAACATAAATAAATAAATAAATACAAAATTTTAAATAAAAAAAACGGCAGAGATATAGCTCATGGAACATGAAGGATCTCATCATATTTTTTTCAGAAAAGACGTACATTTTCTATTATCGATTGTTCTGTGATTTGATTAAATAATTGACTTCACAAAGGAAATCATTAAAAGAAGGAATTTTCTTACGAAACCTTTGCTTGTGAAAGTAAAATTTTGCCACAATGATAAGAAAGTTAACAGTAGACTCTAAAGATTTGTTAGGGTTTTCAAAAAGACAAATTACATCCTTTAAGCATAGATTACTGATCACATTAACTTTCGAAAAACAATAAGCACTTAAATCATTCCAGAAAATTGAAGAAACATTACAAGAAAAAAACAAATGACAGTTGTCCGTTTGTTTTGCCTCCAGCTAGCGCCGTGACGTCGGCGCAAAAGGAGTCTATATTCTGTGGTTTGTCACTTTACATTGGTCAGATGTTCTCCTGTCAATATTAGCCACAGACATTATCCTGCAGTTTGAAGGCGTCAGAAAATGGCAGGTGTGCAAGAAACACCATTTTTATGTAGCGGCACATTTCACGCTGAACACATAGAAATAAAATGACAAAACAGGCCGATGAGAAGTCCTCGCTGTTGAACAGTGTCTTAATGTGATCATCTAAGCATGAGATTGGCAATATAGGCCCTGCTGGGAGTTTACGAGCGCACGATAAACAGCAGAATGTGGTTGTAAGCAGCATAAAGGATGTTTATGACAGGATCTGATCCATGAGCTCTCATAATTACTGCATCAGTTCAATTATTATTGCACTTAATGGATCGATTTTGTCGGGAGTCAAGGGTGTAAAAGGTAGAAAACCCTCAGTCTCAGATTAATAACATCTCTGAGATTAATAAATATAAATAAATTTACCTGCCCGTCAATATATCAGCGCTCAGTTTTTTTCTATTGGCCCAGTCAGACCAGTTTTTTTACTTGCCCTGTCAAAATGCACAAAGTTATTGTTTTCATTGTTTTTGATCCATGCAACCTTTGACTTTCAGGTAGGTCTGTTATATTAAAAAAAAAATGATATATAAAATTATTTATTGAATTGCCTTATTAAAGGTGCTCTATGTAACTTTTAGTGGCCTCTAGTGGTGATGTTTCAGATTGCAACCAAATTTTACAAGAGCGCTCGTGCTCGAACTCATAGACAATACCGTCTATTACGCAAATATCTCGGCGAATACTTGACGGATTCGGCGAGCACCGAGCTCGTTGGGATCATCTAGTCGAGCTGAAAAGAACCATTTAAGTTCCATAGTTTTTGGTGGTGTTTTCGCGGAGATATTAGCAGAAAACCATCGGGCGCGCTGCAAAATTGCGGACGCCGGTGACGTCACGATCTCAGAAGAAAATCGCTCGTATCTCTGGAACGCAAAGACCCAGAGAGCTCAAATTCGGGGGAGGAGGTCCCAGGGGAACCCTTGCCCGAACGCTAGAGTGGCGGGCCTTGGGGATGCCCCCTACCGGATCGCCGTTCGCTGGGACCCCCGATTTCGAACGGCTATAACTCGAGGAGCCGGGCGAGTTGGACCTCGGGGGTGGGCTCGTTCGAAAGGCCCCGTCCAGCACTACGAACGATTAGAGTCTTGGGAATATTGATCAAAGATTGACTGAGATATAAGCCGAAAAACGTGCGCCTTTAACCAGACGTAACTCCCTGACCGTCTACAATAGACTGTATATAAGGAGAGAGGCTCGGGAGCGCGCATGCACGTCACATCCGTTGGATTTCGCGGTAAATCCGACCCGGAGACTTCACATAGAAATAGGAATACTGGCCTTCAGAGGTAATAGCAAAACTCGACAAGTGGATCATTTTAATGTGTGATTACAACCCTTTCACACACAGGCAATAAAAAAAGGATTCATTTTAGTAGAAAGTTACATAGAGCACCTTTAAAGCTACAAAAAGTTATTCAGTCAAGAGCAGAGAGTGATTCTGCATTTTGACATTATTTTGTGACCGTTTAAGCGTTTTTATGTGAACGCACTTCGTGTAAAAATCATGTGCAATCCCACGCCGAAATACAAGCCATGTAACACCAACAATGTTCATCCGGAGCAAATTAAACGAGTGAGTGAGGAGAGGCGGGTTTGTGTGTAACGAGTGAGTGAGGAGAGGCGGGTTTGTGTGTAACGAGTGAGTGAGGAGAGGCGGGTTTGTGTGAAACGAGTGAGTGAGGAGAGGCGGGTTTGTGTGAAACGAGTGAGTGAGGAGAGGCGGGTTTGTGTGAAACGAGTGAGTGAGGAGAGGCGGGTTTGTGTGTAACGAGTGAGTGAGGAGAGGTGGGTTTGTGTGTAACGAGTGAGTGAGGAGAGGCGGGTTTGTGTGTAACGAGTGAGTGAGGAGAGGCGGGTTTGTGTGGAGGAGAGGCGGGTTTGTGTGTAACGAGTGAGTGAGGAGAGGCGGGTTTGTGTGTAACGAGTGAGTGAGGAGAGGCGGGTTTGTGTGAAACGAGTGAGTGAGGAGAGGCGGGTTTGTGTGTAACGAGTGAGTGAGGAGAGGTGGGTTTGTGCGAAACGAGTGAGTGAGGAGAGGCGGGTTTGTGCGAAACGAGTGAGTGAGAAGAGGCGGGTTTGTGTGAAACGAGTGAGTGAGGAGAGGCGGGTTTGTGTGAAACGAGTGAGTGAGGAGAGGCGGGTTTGTGTGAAACGAGTGAGTGAGGAGAGGCGGGTTTGTGCGAAACGAGTGAGTGAGGAGAGGCGGGTTTGTGCGAAACGAGTGAGTGAGGAGAGGCGGGTTTGTGCGAAACGAGTGAGTGAGGAGAGGCGGGTTTGTGTGAAACGAGTGAGTGAGGAGAGGCGGGTTTGTGTGAAACGAGTGAGTGAGGAGAGGCGGGTTTGTGTGTAACGAGTGAGTGAGAAGAGGCGGGTTTGTGTGTAACGAGTGAGTGAGGAGAGGCGGGTTTGTGTGAAACGAGTGAGTGAGGAGAGGCGGGTTTGTGTGAAACGAGTGAGTGAGGAGAGGCGGGTTTGTGTGAAACGAGTGAGTGAGAAGAGGCGGGTTTGTGTGAAACGAGTGAGTGAGGAGAGGCGGGTTTGTGTGTAACGAGTGAGTGAGGAGAGGCGGGTTTGTGTGAAACGAGTGAGTGAGGAGAGGCGGGTTTGTGTGAAACGAGTGAGTGAGGAGAGGCGGGTTTGTGTGTAACGAGTGAGTGAGGAGAGGCGGGTTTGTGTGTAACGAGTGAGTGAGGAGAGGCGGGTTTGTGTGTAACGAGTGAGTGAGGAGAGGCGGGTTTGTGTGTAACGAGTGAGTGAGGAGAGGCGGGTTTGTGTGAAACGAGTGAGTGAGAAGAGGCGGGTTTGTGTGAAACGAGTGAGTGAGGAGAGGCGGGTTTGTGTGTAACGAGTGAGTGAGGAGAGGCGGGTTTGTGTGTAACTCGCTGTCGGAGAGATGAGAGAGAGAGAAAGAGCAGCTGGTATCATGTATATCTGTTCTGCGGAAAATTAGTATTGGAAGAGTTATTAGTATCGATATGCATTGAAAAATCTATATTTTTGACAACACTACATTGCACTTAGTTTATTATTTCAGATTCCTTTTTTAAAGACTACAATTGAAAAATGTTTATAAAATTCAACCCAGCAAAGTGTCTATTAGGTGAGACTGCGTTACACACCCCTGCTGGAATACAGGAGGGGTCGGCGGGTGTTAATGTCAAGCTCTGAATGTAACACTAGCCAAAGGATGATGGGAAAAAAAGGATGCTCCATTAATTGCGCTAAATTGAAAAAAATAATCGCATACATTAACGCTTTAATTTTGACAGCTCAAACATATATACACACACATACACAGAGAGAGAGAAGCACAGAGGAATAGGTAGGAGGAGGGCTATAACCTTGACTCAGATTACCAGCCTGCTCATAAACAGGAAGGAGGAAACGTTGTCATGGCAACCGAAACCAATGGTGTCATCCGAAACCTCAGTCTCTCTCGTTGCGTGTGTGTCTGACGGATGGCCTCTCACTGGGAGTCTCTCGCCCGCTGACCTCTCCCGGGTCGAGAAAAGATAATTTCACAGCCAGCCACTTACACACAATCTCTCTCGCTGCCATTAGTAAATACATCTCAACATTACGCCGCCGGGTCCTAACGCAGGAAATGACACGGACCGTACGGTACAGCCAGAGGAAGAGTCTGAAACCGTTTGGACAAAGACAAACAAAAAGCTGTGGCGTAATGGTCAGTGCACACACACGTTTATGTGGTTGACACAAGTTTAAACTTAGCTCGCAACACTTCCAGATACGCTCTCTACGCTTCCCTAAACAAATTTTTTTTATTCCTAGCAAGAGCGATTAAATCATGTGCAAGTCATATATAAAAATTAGTGCTGTCAAATTGATTAAATCGGCTCTAACATAAAAGTTTGTAAATGTATAATATACAAACTTTTATGTTCGATGCGAATATACGTGATTAACTGATGTGACAGCACTAATAAAAACATCAGATATCAAAAATTCATAGCAAGCGTCATTAAAATTTTAAAAACAAAAGGTTTGTTGGTTTGAAATAAACCTATAGGTCTAGTGTTGATAATGCTTTGAACCAATATTTTTACTGAAAGTGCCAGACAAATGACTTTGAATTCATAAAAAAAAAAAAAAAATTAACATAATATATTTTAATTAATTTATAAAATCTCATTAACACAAGGCTCTCTCATTACGGTAATATTTATTAAAAATGTTCTGTACAACAAAATACTGCAACAATAAATTCAGCTAAAATAAAGGTGGGTAAATTAATTAATTAATATTTTGTTTAGCAGTAAAGAAAAAAGTAAAAGTGCTAAAAATAATAATTTGAATTCATAATAAAATGTTCTAGATAATATTAGTATTCACTTGCTTTTAGCTTAAACACAACGACATCGCCAGATATTTCATTTTCACACAACATGTTTTATTTCTATCACACTTCATCTTATATCATTATATATATACACATTATATCATCTTAAAATATGGCTACCGTTCCCTTACATTTTAGAAAAGGGGTCATTTCGCATTACGACCGTCATATTTTGGGGTCCTTCGTATTAAAACGTTTGCTAGTAAAACACATCCACTAAAAATCACCAAAACAAAAACTATCCAAAGTGAAAATATGCAGCAGCATTTGACACACTTAATTGTCATGTAATATAATGACATTCAGACATGTCTCTACTTCCTAACGAGTGTTTGGAGCCACTGACACACACCCGAGGAAGCAGAACGGTTGTGTTTGGCTCTGGGTCTCCTCCAGCAGAGTGTGTGTGTGGATCTCTGCACGGAGATAAGCTGCTATCGGAGTGTGTTTGCTTTCAGGGAGGAGCGGTGACCTTGACTGGATTCCCCACCTCTTTTTCTCACAGGAGGGAAGAAATCCACGTCACACTTACGCTTGCTACAACCACTGCACCACGTGGAAGATGTTAATCGATGGTATTAGCTTCTGCTGAAGCCGTCAACCCACATTATTTCAGCTTATTTTACAAATAATCGTATTTAACAGGGGAATTTTTGGTGAAAAACTATATTACACATGATGCTGTACAGAAAACCAGTTAGAGAGAGACAAGCAAAACACACAAAAGTATCTCTTTAGCTCCGCCCACTCCCATGAAGCACTGCGAATGGTATAATCGTCGATCTCCCTACTCTCATAATATTTAAATAGTGTCAATATATGCATATTTAGCAAAAAAAACTTAAAATATATTGCTTTTACACATTTTTAAAAGAGTAGGTTTATATTTCTCCATCGTTTTTTATTTCATTATGTTGTTTGCATTTGCAATGCTTCATGGGATTGTAGTTCATTCCCTCACTAAAGTAGAAGTACACTTGTACCTTTGTCTTTTTGTCCGATTTTCAAAAAAACGTTTTTGCTTCAAATGAAAGTTTGTAGTGTTGTGATCCCATCACACACACACACACACACACACACACTAAACATACCCATCACACACACAAAAAAAACTTAATGCACTTTTACAATAAAAAAAAAACTCATTCTGTATGATTTATAAGCTTTTGTACTCGCTGGCTGGTCCCCACAATGTAATATAAACGTGTACACACACACACACACACACACGAGTTATCAGAATTGCCGTTTGTTGGCTGTTTGTTTGTTAGGACTTTCCAGGTCCAACACCTTCAAATTCAAGGACTTAATGAGGGGACACATTTGTTGTGTCCAACAGCAAACGTTGAGGTACCATCGTAGTAGTTTTGTGCGTTTGAACATCATGGCAACGTACAACACAAAGTACCTCACGAGGGAAATACTTGTCGTAACGCGTAAATACGCGGGAAACACTCAACGAAGTGTAACTGCCGTCAAGAAACTTCACTGCCGTACCATGAGTGCAGCAGGCGTAATGATATGACGCAGCGCCTGAAAATAGGCCACCTTCCGTCAACACAACGGAACTATTTTCAGGCGCTGCGTCATATCACTACGCCTGCTGCACTCATGGTACGGCAGTGAAGTTTCTTGATTATTACGCAGGAATGAGAGTATAGTTCCTAGAAAATCGCAACTTTACATTTTCCGTCGGTCTTAGTGCACGATGTAACTACAGAAGAGTCAAGTTTTAAATAGGAAAAATATCAACTCTTTGGTCATTTTTTTTTTGAGAAATGCTAATGGTCTTGTCCACTTCAATGATGTATGCTAAGCTATGCTAAAAGTGGTACCGCCAGAACCGGAGATCGGCTGAATGGATTCAAAAACGGTAAAAACTCAACAGTTTAACTCTGGGGGAGTTGTAAAATGAGCCTATTTCCAAAAAAAGTGGAGTATCCCTTTAAGTTACATTGCCTGCCTCCAGTTTTCCTCAACTTGACTAATTAAGGGGCGATATTTGAACGGCATATCATCAAAATGTCTGTAAAACGAAAACCATTTTTTTCTAGCGGAAACTCTGCTATGCATGTTTATTTTCACAAACTTTCCAGGGCCTTGAATTTTTTTCCTTCAGTTTCACAAACTTTCAAGGACCCGTGGGAACCCTGTTAAATAAACAAATTCAACAAAAACTAACTAGTTTGCTTTGCTATGCTCACCTTCCCAAGGCTCCTCTCCACCTTGCGGAAGCACTTGTTGAGGGAGAGGTTGTGCCGCACCGAGTTCTTCCAGCCAGTGGGGGCGCTGGAGAAATACGGAAAGTGCTCCAGGATCCAGCCGTAGATGTCCTTCACCGGCAGAGACTTGCTGGGAGACTGTTCGATGGCCATGTATATGAGCAGGGAGAAGGAGAACGGCGGCTTGGACTTCATGGACTCTCCCCCGTGCGAAGCCGTCGACGAGCTGACGGATCTGCCGCGGTTCCCCTCGATGTCGAACAGTGGACTCGGGCTCGACTGGGCCTCGGGGCCTCCCAGCGTGAAGTTCTGGAGCAGGTTCTCGTGGAGCCAGTTGAGGTTGGTGAGTTCCTCGTCTCCTGAGCTGGAGCTGCGGTCCAAGCTGGTGGCGAGAGGACTGGCGGCACACTCGGCTTCGGGCAGCGTCCCACAAACCCCGCGCAGGCCCGTCCGCTCGCCCAGAACACCCGGGGATTCTGCTTTCTTATCCGGCGACATCCCGATGATTGGACCCATTAAATCAAGGACGTCTGCGGAGAAGAGAGATAAAGGAATGTGGCTAAATTATGGCTGCACAAAAAAGGTAATCGGGTAGAAAAATCATTAAACCTATTAGAAAATGCAGCGCAATTGAGAACGGATGAAGTGAATGAATCAAACTCAAAGCGATTCAAAATAGCGATTGTGAAGAAAACTATTAATCTGTTGAGAATTATTTTAAGTGCAATCCCGAAAAATGCAACTGATTAAACTAGTTATGCACAATATATCTCTACTACATTAATTATCTGGCAATTTTATTTGATTTATTAGTGTAACTTAATATTGAATATTTAATTGTGCATGCAAATTTCCATCTATTTTTAGATGACCTTTGCCATCATCAAGAATGTGCATGAAGTTGCTTAAACTTTAACACTAATAAATTATAAATAACTGTTAAATGCCACAAATTAGCACAATTAAATGCAATATATTTAGCAATTAATATCCATCTTTTATACTTATGTAAATAAATATGTAAATACTTTGAAATATTTGTGCATAACAACATTCTAATTACTAATATTTCATTATTATTAATATTTATTAACTTTTTTTTTTTACACTAAATAGTACTGGCCATTACATGAAAATAATTATTAGCTTATCAGTATCAGATTTAGGATCAAATTTTAAGATCAGTGCATCAAACTCATGCAAACAGTGATAAATCAATTCAAGTACGAACAAAAAATAGGATTGGGAAGAAATTGACAATTATTTGAACACTATCCAAAACAAATAACATTACTGGTGAAGAGAAACTCATGGCAGACATTGACGATTGGTTAATTCAAGCTTTTTCCCTTTTTTACAACCATTTGTCAAGCTCTGAGCAAAAGTTCTCGCTACGTTCTCTTCTCTAATCTCCCTCGTTCCCATCCAATAATCTCTCTGTTTGAGAAATGACTGTGAGAAAGCCTCGTCTGCCGGTGTTCCCCGCAGTCACTCAGCGCTCGCAGTGAAGGAGCGGCTCTTGTGTCTGAGGGTTTTTGAGGTTTCTTGAGTGTGTCTGAGATGACCCGGTCTCGTCCTCATCACCGCCCACCTCCTCACGCAGCCGCTAGTTAGCCATCATCCACCGCGAGAAGCCCTCGAAGCCACTGGCTGAGGAGAGAATCGGCTGCTCACAACCAGTGGAGGAGGACAAAACACATCCAGAGAGCAGTGCGTCTCCGCTCATCCATTACTGAGGAAAGAGAGGTGACAGTGTTGCTTTGGCAACCTATTGCCTATAAAAGCAGAAGAGCATCGCTGCCGGATATCTGCATTTGTATGAAACAGTTCAGTGGGAAATCGCTATTCATCTGGTTTTCAGAATATCCTTCTTATTATTGTTATCACTCACTCACTCACTCACTCACTCACTCACTCACTCACTCACTCACTCACTCACTCACTCACTCACTCACTCACTCACTCACTCACTCACTCACTCACTCATATATAAAATGAAACGAAACCAAATTAATGAAATATAAAATAATATAACTAGAAAATATGTACATGTAATTTAAAACTTTAAAAAAACAAAATAATAAAATATACTAAAATAACTACATTTAAATATTAAAAATAAGAAATAAAAATTAATATAAAGAATTATAAAATAAAATGATAAAATATACAAACAAAACAAATAAATATTTAAAGATAATAAATAAAATAAATAATTAAATAAATGACATCATATGGATCTACATTTCATGCTATTGTTTCAGAGTATCAGTCTGAATTGTGAACCAAAACCTAAAATAAACTCAAATAAAAATAAAGAAATAATAAAATGTAACAAAATAATTAATAGATATATATAACATTTAAAATTTTGAAAAACAAAATAAAAATAAAATATAACCTAAAATAACAATAAAATAAAATGTACAAATAAAAAAAAACTATAAAAAATAAAATAAGTGAATAAAACAAAAGCAAACCTAAATAAATAAATACAATTCATCTGATCTGGATCACATTTGTGTGATCATATGGATTCACGCTTCCTGCTATTGTTTCCGAGTATCGTGTGTAATTGTGCTCCAACAGTTGCCACAGCATTAAGTTGAACTGCACAACGCAAATATATTAATGTAAAAGGGACAGATGAGCCCCAGCCGTGGCATTACGGCAGAAAGCGGGTCAATGGCGTCAAGCGAATTGGCAAATCCCTGCCGCCTAGTCACACCATGCTCAAATCTGGCCCCAATGTCACCATGACAACCGCTCCGTCAGTTCAATTAGGAGGGCGGATTAGACAGCGGATTGAATAAGAGCAGGGAAAGTCCATCCAGTTAAGCCATCAAATGGCATCACTCTCGTGTGGATCATACAAACGCCACTCGTACACTGACACCAGACGGTCTGGGGTGTGTGTGGGGGGCGTAGATCTCTCCGAGGAGGAGGGTTTACCAGTGTTTTTAATGCTGAACTAGGTCAGACAGGACCAGTCTGGTACGGGTCATGCATAAAACAACAAATCCAGAAGTGTTTCCGGAAACACACAACACTGTTAGGGTTAGTTTCAGATGCTTAGACTTTACAATCACAGTGCGTTTCACTCATTTGCAATGGTGTACGATCAAACTACTAGTACTATTTTGCAGCATCTATGCATATGCACAATACATTTTCTGCATGCATGAAATACCCGGATGACCTTTTGTCTGTATGTGCAGTATATAAAAGAGCGTATTGCAACCCACAGTCCCAAATTTAAAATTAGAATATTGTGAAAAGGTTTTCATAAGCTGTAAGCCATAATCATCAAAATTATAACAAATAAAGGCTTGAAATATCTCACTTTGCATGTAATGAGTCTATAATATATTAGTTTCACCTTTTAAGGTGAATTACTGAAATAAATGAACTTTTGCACAATATTCTAATTTTTTTAGTTTCATTTGTTTACTATGCATTTGCAGTAAGTAGGACACTAGTATTCCAGCCTATTTGTGAGAGGAAAATAAGTTTTGTGGGAAAAAAATAAATAAATAAATAATAATTAAACTCAGATAACTTGGACCACCAGAGGAACATCAGGTCCAGAGAAGACCAACAGCTCCAGGAACGAACAGACTCGGACGGGCCGAAGGGGCATTTCAACCCTGGATCAAAGGAGAACACGTCCCTCAGAAAGAGAAACAAGGAGAGGCAACTGGAAAAGAGCGAGCGGAGAATGAGTGAGCAAATGAAAGGTTGAGAGGAGCGCCATGGAAACAGTAAAATTAATAAATAAGTCATAAGCAGTGCATGATGAATCATAACTCTCAGGAAAGTGGAGTTATCAGACATGTCAGGCAGCAACAGAACTGCCCGAATGCGTTAAAGCAAAGCTTCTCCCCAAAGCCCGAAACTCAAACAGAGAAAGGATCAAAGGTTCGAGAGAGTCAGAGCCATGGCACACGGCGTAGTGCACATGCTTGCAAAAAAATCAAAAATAAAAATAATAAAAATGCACATCCCGATTCTCAAAATAAAGCTAAAAATAAATAAAAAAAATCAAAAAAATAAATAAAATGCAATAAAAACAAAAATAGTTTTTTAAATTAAATGCAAAAATAAAAACAAAAACAAATATAAACAACAAAAATACAAAATTTAATTAAATATTAAATAAAATAATTAAAAAAGAAACAAATACTATAAAACAATTAATAAATAATAAAACAAAAAATATAATTATTAATTATATCATTACAAATAATTAAAAATATTAAAAAAAAATGAACAACAAAATAACTTTCAAAAAATAAAATAATATAAAACTAAAACAGAACACTGAAAAAAAAAAAAATGAAGCTCAGAGTCAAGACTGTGTGTGTGGCACGCTCACCTTTTGCACAGTCAAGCATGCATAACGGTTTGGTTTACTAGACATGTTAATGTGTCTCTGCCTTTACTGTGTTGTAATTGTCCAAGCACCCTTAACTCGCCAGTGTCATTACCATTCACACAAAGCTGCTCCTGTTAACCCATTAACTTCAATCGTGCTCCGCTCTATAGCCTCTGGGTAGTTCATTAACCCCTATTAGCAACACAAACTCTGACCTAAACCACGCAGCACAGCCCTAATACTCCCAGGTGCTGCTGGGAAGTGGCATGGGAGCCGGTGGGCCATAAAAGCACAACACACTTACTCGACAAATTGAGGCGGCCACTACATTTGAGCACCGCCGTCGAGCAACCAGGGGAAGAGGTTTTTATGCCATTAGCTCATAGTCGATTATCATTGCCGTTGTGATTATCATAATTATCAGTGCTCTTATCAAACGGCATCAAAGCGGCGGTCGGTAATGGCACACTTGTGAGGGAGGGAGAGTGAGGGCTAATGAGGGATGGTTGTAGTGGGGAAGACGACACCAGGGCCTGATCACAGAGATGCCACCGACGGCTTATCTGCAAGTTAAAACTCCCATTCAATGCCAAGCCTTTCATTCAGAGAGAGGGAGGCAGGTGCCAGACACGGCTCGCTTTCACTCTCTTCCAGCCTTAAAGCGCCAGCTTGTTCCCTGCATTGATTATGTTCAGCAAAATCTTAAAAATGCATTTTGTTTTCCAAGGGATGTCATGGAAGAACCATTTTTGGTTCCTCAAAGAACCTTTCAGTTCTTAAAAGAAACATTTTTAAAATCTAAAAGAACCCATTGCCATTATAAAGAAACAGATTCAAAAACATTCGGTTCTCAAACTAAATGTTTGCATGCAAACGTTTTTTTAAATGGACAGTTCCGTTAAAATTTTTAATTCTGTCATCGTTTCATGTTGTTCCTACGGAGCCCCTAAAGGCACCTGGTGATGAGGAAAATATGTGAGGAAATTTTTTTTTTGAGAGAGAGAACGCAGTTTCTCAGGGGAATGCAAAAGTTTTGGTGATGGAAAAAATATGAGATTTATTTCAATAGTTTGGAGTTTGCTTGCAAATCTTTGCATTTCCCCAGAAAGTGTGAATTTGCTTGCAAAACTTTGGAGTTCCCCAAGAGAACGAGAG